AGAATCATTCAAGTTGCAGTCATATAAGTTAATCAATTCTGAATAACATAGTATAACAATCATACATCAAATAACAACTACATTACAGTTACAACATTTTTTAATACCCATAGTCATGAACTCCATCCTGAACAATGTAAATATAGTGCTAAGTTCAGGTTAATAGGAAGGGAAGCGCTGATTGATATTGAATTCTATACAAAAAATGGAAATCTTTCGATTACCATACAGTGTCAATTGTTTAGAGCAAAATATCCAAATGCAACCTTTTTAGATACAGATCTCGCTAACGCTATTCAACATTACAAAATTAAACCTAAAGATCTTAAAACTAACGCTTCACAACTTTTATCATTTCTTATTGAGAGGCGTTCGGAGGAGTCGGGTTGGAGCATTGAATTCGAGTTAGATAATGACAACTGCCTTACTCGGCTTTTCTGAATGACTTCTAAACAGATATCTCTTTGGCTCGAATATCATGATGTTATTCTTAACGATAATACAACTAAGACAAATCGATATTAGATGCCTCTTAGTTTGTTCTTTATCGTCGATAATAATACAAGATCCTGTTTAGTTGCGCAAGCATTAGTTTCTGATGAAACTACTGAATCTTATCATTAGATTCTTCAGTGTACTAAGAAAGCTACAGGAGTTGAGCCTCTAGTCTTTGTGACAGATGCAGATCCAGCGATGGACAGTGCACTACAACAAGTGTATGAAAATACTAATTCGTTATATTGTATTTATCACATCAGCCAAAATCTTCCAAAAAATCTGAAAGGAACATTGGGTAATTTATATGACCAATTTGTTAAAGAGTTTTTTCTTTGCCGCAATACGTTGAACGAAACGTTATTTGAGTCAAGGTGGAAAAATTTGTTAGAAAAGTTTCTATCAGCTTTAAGTTATTTAAACTGAACCCTTTATCTTAGTCGTCGTTCATGGGCTTGTGCCTTTATATCAAAAGTTTTTATAGCTGGGATTCAAACTACGTCACACGTAGAAGAGTATGTAGTAAATTGAAATTTCTATTTGGTTAGGGTAAAGTATAGATTTATGGTTAGGGTAAGGTATAGGTTATAGTTAGGGTAAGGTATAGGTTTATAGTTAGGGTCAGCAAGTTGCATAAATCAGGTTCACATTAGGGTATCATTTACAAAAAATAATTTTAAAATCATGTTAGATATTAGCTAGGGTTAGGATTAGTTATTCGAAGTTCATTTTATTATTTACATTTTGTTCATAATACAGATACAATAACATCATTAAAAGGCAATTGTATAGTAAAGGTAGTTTATGTGAATTGCTAAAGACTTTGGATTCACGATTAGAGAAAGAGGCTAAGTGGAATCGTTTTTTTGAATACAAAACTCTATCATCATGTGTTGGGATTGCATCTATCGGCAGTGAGGTATTGTCTGCAGTTGACCATATACTATCAGAATACTTGACCTCACAGATTCTTTCTATTGAGCGTATTGAAATAGCTCAATATTTATATTTTGATGTGATATTGGCTAACTTAACAACGTTAATCAGATTGGATGGTGAGAATGAGAGTATAGGTGATCAATTTATAGAAGACATTTATAATGGGAGGCAGATCTTACTTAAGTCAATGGTTTCAGAAGTTGATCACGTTAATATTAAAGAAACTTGGCAAATCACTGATAAATGACCTGGAAATAATCAGAGAAAGCACTTTATCATTGTTCTTGATTCTATCTCTTACATGTGCACATGTATGTCGAACATATCTCATAGTATATTATGTAGGCATTACTTTCAGGTAATGCTAGTGTCACAAATTTCTGGATTTCATATTGGTATGGTGGTATCATGCTGGTATTATGATCATAAAAAAAAGGCAATTGATTAGGCGAATGTGATTTTTGCTAATTCAGATGCTAGTAAAGCTTAACAAAATCAAACAACGTCCTTAATTTCTTAATATTTCACAATTTCCTGTTCAGTAACAACAAACAACCTACGTGCAGCAGCACAGCATTCTAAATTTGATGAAATTTGGGGTCTTGCATGGCAAGCCGTACAACTCGCTGTTGAATGTGAAGATAATGAGATGGAACAATGGTTAAAATCTTTTATTAATCAAAAAAAACATTTTTTAGTACAAAATAAAGAGCCTGAAGACAGTGAAAAAGAGAATAATTCTACAATTGTAAATCCTCTAATTACCAGACGCAAGGGCAGACCCGAGACTAAGTGATACAAGGCTGCTACAGAAAAAGGACATCGTCAGCCATATACTTGTCGTATCTGTGGCAAAACTGGGCACAATAGTGCAAGATGTCAAGAGAAAGGTAGCTAGCTTGATGTTGTTTAATGTGTTTGTTATTTGATGTATGATTGTTATACTATGTTATTCAGAATTGATTAACTTATATGACTGCAACTTGAATGATTCT